GTTAAGATGTATAATCAGCATTTGCCCGGATTGGCAGCTCGTACAGCTTTGCTGAGACTTGCAGTTTGCATGAGCAAGTACGTTTTGATCTTCTTTTTAATTATGAGCAAGGAAATGTTTAAGTTACAAGCAGACATCTGTGTGTGATTTTGTGCAAAAGCTTCTGATACGGCAGAGTCTCTCTCTGCTGTTGGAATAAGCATCTTCAATCAATGATCTCATGTGATCCAGCTGGAAGTACCAATGCAAGTCCTCCTCTGAATTTCTTTAGACAGTACTGCTACCACCCTAATTGTCTCCAGTTGCTCTCGAGTCAGTCATATGTCCTCAAAATGCTGTTTCCTTCCAGGCAGCTTTGAGCTGAAATTAGGAAGTTTACAGAAGCTTGAAAACATCACCTTGTTACACAAGAGATTGTACTGTTTTTTTTTTTGTTTTTGTTTTTTCGGGAGGGTATATATGTAAGTGTTGTTAGTTCAAAGCCTCATGATGATAGTTTGCAAGAAATGAAAATAACTTTCACTCACATGCTTTAATTGCTGCTGTATAGTCTTTTTATTGTTGCATAACAGCTTTCGTGTTTTAGTTGGTTCTAAGTGAATCGTATTATTAGTTTTTAATGAACTGACTTATTCGTCATATTTATTGAAAGTTTTGTCTCTTTTGTGCTGTTATTACACTGCCAAAGACTGTAGTGATTGGTCCATACCGCAAAACCGGAACAATCCTAATTCTATATTTACTTTGAAACCCTAAACCAGTTACTTGTGAAATTGTGTTTATGTATGAAACCAGAATTTATATATTTTTAAAGGGAAGAATCCAAATTTCCACTGTAAAACCTGTTCTCTCACTTACCCAGACTTTTTTTTTAGTTCGTTTATCTTCTTTTATTAATTTATGCTGGTGTAGTATTTTCTGTCATAGTTTGTTTCCTTTGCAGAGTGCTTTTGACACTAAATCTTCATAATAAGATTGTACAATAATTAATTAACTAAAGGACATTGGAAATGCGGTGATTTGCAAAAGATTTAATGTTTTATTATTTTTAGATTTAAATTTAGATTTAGTTTTGTAGATTTATATTATGTATTACCATTTAACATATGGGGGTTAAAAAAAATTTTTTTTTTAATGTTTTTGAAAGAAGTCTAATGCTCACCGAGGCTGCAAAAATGCAGTAAATACAGTAATATTGTGAAATAATATTGCAAATTAACAGTTTTCTATGTTAATATATATATAGTAATTTACTGTAATTTACTGTGTTGATGATGATGAATTTTCAGCACCATTACAGCACCATGTCATATGATTCTTCAGAAATCATTCTAATATGCTGATTTACTGCTCAAGAAACATTCATTATCAATGTTGAAAACAGTTGTGCTGTTTAATATTTTGTGGAAACCATGATACATATTTTTTTCAGGATTCTTTAATCATTATAAAGAACCCAGTACTGCAAGTGAGTGAGAAAACAGGTTTTTGTCCATAATGATCTATTTACTAATTTAGATGATTGTAAATACAGGCTCTATCTACAGCATTTGGCAATTATCAAAAATATGAATCACTAAAAAACAGAAAGAAAAGAAAAACCCATAAAAATCAGTTTTGTGTAAATCATGGACTAGTGTAACAATTTTTTTACTGACAATCTTTCAGTGACTGGTACAGCCTGTAAACTCATTGACTTTCAAATGTCCTGTGTAAGCATGGAGCTCCACTCTTGGCATAAACAAAACTTAAAAGTATTTTCTGTGGTAATCACTATGGCACAAATGCTGTGGACAACACATAAATGTATTCAAACCAGGACATTTCATAGAGGAATCATTTTTTTAATGTTGAACCGAATGTGTGTCTGTTACAAGCAGCTTGTCATCCTGATGGCCATTTACTGGTTTTGTACATTTCCAAAGTCATCAAACTTGTTACGTTCAGGATTATACTGTTTTAGGACAATTAAGTGACTTTATCCACAAGAAATCCTTTTTTTTTTTTTTTAAGTTGTTGGATGAGTGTACAGGAGGCCATTACTAGCCTTAATCGCCAGTGATCACACAAATAAATCCTGTTTTCATTGGGTGTACCAATTTATTATTCTGATCATGCAACAAATTGATCAGGGTAAAATAATGTGATTTCATGTTAGCTGAATACTCTTTTGAATCATAATGTTATAGTTCAGACTGAGAGAAGGGGCAATATTGCAGTTTAGAGAAGTCCTATCCCTCCTCCAACTCACTGCCCACTCGCTCTCAGTCGGACCCCACTTCCTGAACACTCCATCTGTCAGACCCGTCTGTGTTGCCAGAGAAGAGTAACACACACACGGGCACCAGCAAATGAGGATATCATTATATCATACACACACTAATTAGATCCTGGGCCAAACTAGCTTGGATTATGTCCATGTAACCGTGATTTTAATATATTTAAAAGCAAGTGTACTGTTTTATGTTTAAATGAATATTCATTTTATCATAATGAATGACTCACTACCAGCATAGTATGTCTTTATGCACTATAATGTACAAAGCTAAAACAAGCACAAAGATGAAATACTGATTTTTGAATGTGAATGCAGAGGCCTATGCCTCGGCTGTCTTAATTGCTCAAATATTGCAATGCCATCTGAGTATTTGACCTTTTGCTTCTTCATCTCACTCAAATATTTTCAAGATTTGTTTTCAGGAGACCATGCGTTGATCAGTGTTTTGATATTTTATTCTTATTTATTGTCCTGTGATTTTGGTTGAAATGTTTGGCACAGACCCTTCAATCTAAAAAAAAAAAAAAGATGAACTGTTTTGGTTTCATTTTAATACTGTTCTATAGTGAAATAGATGTGGTTTGAAAAATACAATTTGCCTCATTGCTTTTGTATTTGTTCCTCTGCTGTTGAAATCCAAATAGAATGTAACATGACTACGTTTACAATATCATGGCTTGTATTATTGGTATAAGCTTTAATTTTGAAATAAAAATATTCTTCTGTTAATCAGGATTATGGGGTGATTGGACTTTGATTGACATAGAGACAAGGTATTACCTTGGGTTTTGCTCAATGATCTCAAATATAAAATTAAATATTGACCTGTACAAAAGAAAGGAAGAGGGAGTTGTGATTTGAGTGACAAGTATGCTTGGAATAGCTTGTATAAATAGTGGAGTGACATGTCGCACAGTATTGTGTCCCATACTTGGGATTTGTGCTCTACATTTCACCCATCCAAGTGCACACACACACTGTGAACACACACCTGGAGCATTGGACAGAGTTTTTTTTTTTTTTTTTGCTGGGGTTAGATGCCTTGCTCAAGGGCACCTCAGTTGTGGGTATTAAGAGCGCTGTTCATTCACTCCCCCACCTACATTTCTTGCTGGCACTGAGACCTTCGGTTTTCATTATTTATTTTGTTGAATGTGTCCAGTAAAATGTGCATGATGAAACCAAAATGTTTTTGGTTGTAAATGAACACATTCTGGGTTTTCCACCAGCTCTGCATTTGGAATATTTATATAGGCTATAATTATGCATTTCCATATATATATTTGAAATGTAGCCATTTGGCCCTTGACCAAACAAAGGCCCCTGTAGCCTACCATTTTAAAAAGAGTTAAATTTTTTTTGTTACCGAGATATTATTTTCTTTATCTGTTTCGTTTTAAGAGCTCAGACATGCAATTTGACTAATTTCTTTTCATAATGTTGAATAATGTAATTCCTTTGATTTTGAATGATCTTTAGCCTAATGAATTTTTATAGAGAATTGACGACACTGCTATTTAAACAGTTCCCAATGTAAAGTCTGAGAAATTAGTATTTGTTTTAAAATTACACCTTTTATGTCCAAATAATAAGATGTTGTAACAGAGAGGTATTTAATTTCCAAAACCCTGGCTTAGTTACCCAAAAAGTGTCATCATTTACTCTCACCCCCAAGTTGTTCCAAACTTGTATGAATTTCATTCTTCTGCTGAACACTGTGTGGAAAATATATACCAGAAGATACTGGGGACCATGATCAACTGTTTGGTTACCGACATTCTTCAAAATATCTTCTTTTGTGTTCAGCAGAAGAAAGAAACACATCTACAGGTTTGGAACAACTTAGGGTGTCAGAATGACAAAAAAAAAAGAAAAAAAAAAGAAGAAAATCACTCCCCTATATAGGCTACCCTTAAATATGGTAGCCTACTATTTGAGGGAATTAGCCATTTGTAGTAGCCTGAGTAACGCGATGTTATTAATGATACGTGGTCTGTCTGGTGTTAGCCAGGCTACATTTGTAGTGGTGTGTGACGAAAACCATAGTGTTCTCAGATGTAGTTTAGTTCTCAGGTGAACTGGACGATGCCGCTAGAGGGCTCCAGTCGTCCTTAGCGTCCGAATCCGTGTCATGAGCATAGACTGTAAAAAAGGTCATGAGTCATGACCGACAAGGAGCTCGTATGGTGCCTGCAGCCCAAGCGAGCCCCAGGCACAAAACCCGCTTGATGAGACTTACTGGGGGAGATTTTTTTTAATCACAATATGAGTATGGTGATGGAAAAACATGAGCTTTGAGGATTTTTTTAAAATTAGTTTTTCTTTCCTGAATGCTCTAGAAATTCTATTTTTTCTACCACTCGATTGAATCAAGTAACGTTAGGCATACTGACAGCACATGCTTTGCTATTTACCTATGATCTGCAGTTATTATACCCTGTACGCTCAATAAATGAGACTTGTAGTTAAGATGTTTGCAATCTAACTATAATCTAAGGTATGACATAGAATTATGTTTTTATTGTGTTATATTTATGTTATAGTCACTATATATTCTAAATAATGCTTATTGCAAACATTTTCTTTTTAAATAAAGCAATATACGCTTTACACTTTATACCGCTAACCTAATAATAATTGTTATTTAACAGAAATGTAGACCGACAAGAACTCGGTCGTTCTGATGCAACTTCTCGCGGAGGGATATCAGCCATGGCGACACATTTGTAATCTGTCTTGTTGCCTGGAGATAAGTAAAATGGAGTCTGAAATCGCCTTTAAAGTCCTTCCTTCTCAGCCATGTTGGCTCAACCGGAATCGTCATAGGATGTTTGGAGACATATGATGCAGGTTCAGCTTGATCCAAAATGTCGTCACCTGCGTCCTAACTCGAGTTAAGGACGTAACATATTTTACCCCGCGCCTGATATCTGTGACGCGATTGCGGCGGACGCGGACCTTCGGAGCTCCAGCTCGGAACGGCAGCGGGAGAGAAGTCATCGCTTCTCCTGCTGCTATTTAGCACACTGCGTAGGGTTACAGCAGGTAAGATTATTTCACCATGTTAAACTGCCTTCCAATATGTTGCGTGTTATATATATTGGCAATGCTCCACATTTACGACTTGAATTGAAAGCTGATGTTTTAGGCCGTCTCGTCAAGTATTACAAGCGTCTGTAGCCAGGCAAATCAGCCGCGCCTCCTCCCCGGTTTAGCTACAACGGTGCACTAGCCTAGCATAACGCTACCTCGTATTATTTAGGTTACTACCGTCCTTTTTCCTATTGTAGACATATTTGGATTTGAATTGAATCCACTAAACACTCATTTGGCCCGTTTCATGGCGGTTGTTGTGAAGCAAAAATGTTTACGTTGCCTGTAGTTTTCGAGGAAGTGATAAACCGGGACTAGCGTTTCACTCTTGCGTAAAATGGTGTCCGAGTTAACCAGCCGACAACACTGTATGAGTGGACCGGTCATCTGTTTACATCTCGAATGCGTCAGAACGACACTTTAGACGACTATAACATTGATTTTGCCCAGTGGATAAAGCCAAATCACGCGTTTTATAACATAATGAAGCTTATTGGGCATTGTGTGAAAATCGTTGCAAGCAATCGCTATGTAACTTGGGCTGGTTAAGGAGCAGCGCGGCAGCCCGAAAGTTACTTTGAGCGAGATTATATCTTGCACTTTTTCAGCATCGTTTAGCAGCAGAATAACATTGATGTTAGCTGAATCATGCTGAGTAAGGGGAAAGTGGTTTGTGCTTCGTCTGCGGCGTTTATAGATGATGGCCCGTGGATATAAACCTTTATTGAAATAATAAACTGTCATTGCCATTTATTTTGTCGTTTGACTAGCAGCTAACTGAATTGATAACGTTAGGGAGATTTAAACGTGACTTAGGTAACGTTATTTCAATGCTTCAGGTCTGGTCTCTGCCTTGAGTCAGCTGATGGTTAGCTCGTAGCTAGTCAGCTGGCGTCCTGTCATTCCGCTGTTTTCCTGTCATTGTCAAACAATGCGTATTATTTGATGTCTTTAATATTGTTTAAACAGACATTATAGAGACACCAGTGTCCGTGTTGCCTTCAGGTGGTCGTTTAACACATGATTATATAATTAATCGTAAAGCTTGCATTCTAAATTGATTAATTTAAGCCATGAAGGGGCAAACGTCAAGGGCACACTGCAAGTTTGCACTCCGATCCGTTACGGTAATTCAAACGAACGAAAAAGTACATGATCTGAAAAGTCCACAGAATAGTTTTGGTGTACAATCATGTCACACTTTTAAACGTTTTTAAAGAGACATTTTTATAACTTCTGCGTTCATTTCAGATGATTAAAATTGTCGTCATACGAATGTAAACATTGAGGCCTCTGTTACTAAAAAGGGCTTTGCTAAACTAAAGTGTTTACTTCTGGTCAATGAATGCGCTGTTCAATACACTGACACTCAGCACTCACTGTAAATGACGAGGAGTGACGACAGAAGATGGGCGTGACGGACCTTTTTCAGTTTCAACTGAGTGGAAACAAATTTTTTGTCTATTCCAACTCAACAAATGTATTTTGTCAGACAGGGAGAGTTTCTTTTTTTTGCATTTTAATGTCCACATTTAGTTGTAGCATATCCAAGCTCTGATTTTCTGCTTATGGTGAGAGTGAAATGCTGGGGTCATGCTTTGGGAACAGATTAAGTGTTGGGTGAAAGTGCATTGACAATTACAGTTCTAGCGTTTTTTCTTAGGCAGTTTCTTAAATTTGCCTTATTCATAGAAGCTACACCTTGAGTATGCTTGATGGTGCCCCTGTGTGTAGAAGGCATAAATGTTGTTATACGTTACGTTTTGGGGCATAATTTCCATTTGATGGGCCTAATTGTCTCAATGCTCATCAGAGAGTCATGACATGTAGGACCTGTTTCTTTTAAACTTGTCTTTTGAAACTCATGTATTGTCTTCCATAACAAGAAGAGCAGAAAAACTTATCTTTAAGTGGCATTCCAGACATGCTGATCTTTCTGCTCATACCTTGGGCCCAAGGGAGGGGTTCTAGCAGACCAATCACAGCGCTTACATCTTCATAGAATTGATTTTTGGAGGTGCATGTCAGGTTACGCGTGTTACACACAGCCTTTGATGTATCTACAGTGTGAGTTTGATGCAGAAGTATAAATTGGGCTTAATGATTACGTTGACGCATCGTTCCTAATGTCTTTAAAGTTAATTTTAGAATTCAAATTGTAATGTATTGGAAGTGGTTTGTGAGTTTTCAAAATGAGAACATACTTGGTTACTAACGTTACCTCGGTTCTCTCTAGAGTTTTTGTGCCAGGGACCAGCATATTCATGAAAAAAGGACCAGTTGTCAATTTGAATGCCCCGATTTTAAGATGGATTGTTTGGATTCGGAACATATCACTGTGTAAAACAGTACAGCCTATCATTTATTTGCATATAATGAACTAGGTGGCAACAAAGGCTACTTGTATACCATTTTTTTAAACTTTCAGACCTGTTCACAAAATGTTTCCCTTTTCTCTCATACAATTAGGTCTACTTCAAAAGCTACTCGCACAGCACTCACTCTCTAGCAGGTGGCAGTAATGGCAAATTGTATGAAAATACCAGTCCATTTCACCTGTCAAATCTCTCCAGAACCACTAAAGACAAACACTTCAACAGCAAATTAGTGTTTTCTCTCACCAACAGGTGACAGCAAAGGCTAATTGTTTGAAAATAAGAGCCAGTTTTAACTGTCAGACAGGTTCAGAATAGCAAACATTTAGAGATTAAGCTTTTAACCTTTAACAAAAAATACCAGACCATACCAATGAGAACAAAACTATTTTAATGTGAGGATGAGCTGCTAATTGATATTACTATATATGTAGCTGTGCACAAGACAAGCTGTTCTTCCTGGACATGCATCCAAAACAATGCACACAAACAGAATTTAAAAAGGTCTGCTTCACAAATATGAACGAAAACCAGCTTACAGTCTGATATCCATCTCAGTGAGACCCCTGGGATTGCTTTGCAGCCACAAGAACATCATACCGTGGCTTGATGGTTGAATGAGATACACAGGGTATTCCTCACATCCAGTCTGTTTCTAAGTCTGGTCTTAGTGGCAGTCATGGCAGAAAAACCTGCCTCACACAGATATGAAGTCAGGAATGGGAGCAGGGTCTTCAGTGCAAGGGTGCTGATCTCAGTGTATTCTATTGATGCTTTGATCCAGAAGGATGTCAATGGTGTTGAATTAAAGACAGTTTTCAGGCCTCCATCATTTCTGAGCTGTAGCAGCTGGTCTTCTTGTCTTGATGAGAGCTGGTTCTGACCGTCATCATCTTCAAAATTAGCTATCGTACCCACATCGTTAACTAGTTTGTATCGCTGTAACTTGAATGACTGTCAACTGTTGAATGAATGAGTGTCAAGCGGCACCGGTCAGGGGACCTGGGGTGGGGAATCACTGCTCTAGAAGAAGGAACGAGTACTGTGTAATATCTTACGTTAGGGGAAAACCTCTTTTCCACGAGATATTGAAGCCAAAAATTATTCCTAATTTTGAATTAATGTAAGCATGCAGACGTGGGCAAGACGGCTCGTGTGCCTATTGGCTGTCCTGCGGCAACTCCAACAGCCTATCGAGAGAGACCCTTGGTGATGTCAGATCCAAAGGCATAGAGTGGGCAGCGGGGCCAGAAATGGACCAGCGCATCCCTGCTCTTGGAGAAAAACTTTGGAGAGTGAGCGTTCTCTTGGGACGCAAACAGGTCTACCTGCGCTCTGCCGAAAGTCTCCCACAGCAGTAGGACCGTCTGTGGGTGCAGAGACCATTTCTGGACAGTCTGCTGGTCCCAAATGTCTGTCTGGTCACATGTGCTGCTCTCAATGAGCGCAGATTGTGCTGAGTCCTGACCAGGAGGCGTTCCGTGAGCCTGTAAAGGTATTTGGGACCTGACGCCACCCTGGCTGCGTTCGAGGTGGAGGTGTCCGCCACTTTCATACCTCAAGTCCCTAGGTAGACCATGGGGGAAAGTTAAATCATGCACATTTACAAAAAAAAAAAAAAAGTGGTGAAACATTTTACTCAATTTTGATCACTATCATAGACATCAGTGTTTATGTTTGAACTCTAAATGTTTATCCAAGTACTTCTATGACAATTTGAACTATTGTATCAGAAATAATGATACTATGAGGTTGAAAAGACTGGAAACTGCTGTTTCATGACAACTCCCTCTGGGTCAGGGTCAGCGGCAGAGCCAACACAGATTTTAAAGTTGCAATATGATTTTGTCGAAGGTTTAATAGACAGATGAAATGGAAGATCGTAGCGTAGGTGTTTGAATCGAGATCAGTCTTTTAAAGATTAATCGTACAGCTCTACTGTCGTATCTCTCTCTCAGCACATGAGTGGCGTGAGTGCTTTTCAGTGCATTCAATCTTACGCCACTTCCATACCTCCACTTGAAAGAGATGTTACGTCACTTTAACACTCATAGATAATGATGTATTTCAATCCCTGTGGCTAACTTCTGTCAACCTCATCTATAAGAAAGGAAAAAAGGAAAAGGAAAAAAATAAAGCAATTTAATTTGAATTAATATCGATTCTGTAATAATAAAAAAAAAGACTTGGCATATGAATTGCTCTAGAGTAAAAAACATTTAGTATGAAACCTAAATGCTGTTGTTTTTTACTCTCTCAGGTTGAGCCTGGAACCAGCTGTCCTCCAAGATGAACCCTTATGAGTGAACGTGAGCCTATTCAGTAAGCTGTTAGCTTCCAGTGGTCAAAGCCATGCCTGAAGATTAGAGCCTCTCTCTTGCTTGCAGCAATACAAATATACAGAAGAATCTACATGAGTCTTCATGTAGACCTTCCTGTGTTTGCCCTGCTGGATTGAGTCCTTCCTCCCCTAAATATAATATCAGCTCTGTCCGTTTCATACCACTCCGTCTTGCACTTTCATGTCCACCTGGGAACATGCAGCTGCATTTAAGTATGGCTCCAACCTAGTCTCATGCGTCCAATGAGTGGAGAGTCAGACGGCCCTGCTCCTGAAAGAGTCTCGCAGGCCTTTCCTTTGTCAGGCCCTGTGTCCTCCTCAGAGATGTCCTCACTGCAGTCACTAGGGCCAGTGCAGAGCTGGCTGGGTCAGGAGTTGGAGAAATGTGGCATAGATGCTATGATCTACACCCGCTATGTCCTTAGTCTGCTACTGCACGACAGCTATGACTATGATCTGCAGGACCAGGTATAGTGAAAATGTTTCAGAAAAGTGTTGTTCTTTGTTTTTAATATTTTCAAAGAATTGTTTTGTATTTTAAGTATCTACAATTCTAATAAAACCTCTTAAAGCAGTAGTTTACCCAAAATTGTAATAGTGTATACCAGGTGTGCAGTAGATTTTATGATGCAATACAATTGATTTGGTTTTAATGTAAAACAACTTTAATGGAATTATTCTAGCAGGTTTTTTGAATAGTGGTTGATCAGTTAATACAGGAGAATTTAATATTTTTGATGTATTTAGTAGTACCGGTAGTTCTCCGTTTTATTTTTTTGCATTCAGTTTAAGGCTCCAAGTAACTATTATTTGACTCTATTAATCTGTAGATTATTTCTGCAATTATTCAGATAAAAAAACACCAAACAACAGTACGAAACCTTCCTTGTGCACAGGAAAATGACATCTTCCTGGGCTGGGAGAAAGGAACAGGGAAGAAATGGGGGAAGAGTAAGAAGAAGGGAGTGACTGACCTTAGTCTTGAAGAGATGAAGAAACAAGCTGCTGTGCAATGTTTGCGTTCAGCATCTGATGAAGTAAGACCTTTACTTCAAGAAATGTAGCAAATTGTTTTGTATTCCTACAACCTTTTTCACACCACTGTTGTGAGTTTGTTTAACCATTTTTTGCTTGACTAATCCCAGAACATAATCAAGAATAGCACTCCTCATTAAGACTGTAAAAAATTCTACTTGGGGCTCTAGTAATGTGGATTTGCCTCAAAGCCTTTAACAGGGATTATGCTTGTCTCTGTAAAAAAATAAATCACCAGAACTAGTTCACAGGTTGTTTTTTTTTTTTTTTGATCCATTTATTAATTTTATAAATCACACAAAACAGTGATTTTATATAATTTCCCCTGCAACTAAGTTAAAATTTTTTTCCTCCAGAATTCTGGAATTGAAAGCTTGGTCGAGGAGCTTTGCTCTAAACTCAAGGATATTCAAAATAAACATGCAGGTTGGTCTCATGCAGGTTATGCAAAAATTGCATTGTGCTACTACTGCTGTAACTGTGTATCGCAGTGATTCAATTAAATTGCTTTGCTATTACTGTCTTACAGAAAAAGAAAAGCAAGGAAATAAAAAATCTGATATATCTCAGTCTCCTGAACCAGATGAATCCCTTTCTTCTAAGGACCAGGTTGAGATGTAAGTGAAGTCTAATGAATGTGGATTGTTGCGTAGCTGGGGTTATGATTTCTATGTAAATAATGAACAGTGTGACTTCATAGCAATGTAGCCTTTATTAAACCAGAAAAGGCTGTGATTATATAGTTTGTGTGCTGCATGCTTTAAGGTTAATGGCAAGTGTTTTGTTTTGAGAGCCTAGTGAATGTGCTTGCATAATTGTTTGTTTGTAAATTGTTTGTTGTGTGTTTACAATAGCAGTCTCAAATAGCAACATTAAGATGACCTAATGCAGTATTTGAAGTTATTGATCTTATTTAATTTTCGTATTGTTATTTATAGTAAAATTATTATTATTATTATTATTATTCCCTCTTAGGTACTATGAAGCCTTTCCACCTCTGTCAGAAAAACCTGTTTGTCTCAAAGAAATTATGACAGTGTGGAACAAAGCTAAAGCCTGCACATATTCCAGCTCATCATCATCTGCTGTCCCTCAAACAAGCACAGACACATCCTCTCCAAAAGACTGCACCAGCGAAGGTGAAGCCTTTAAAGACCGAACAGTTGATGTACCCAGTTCCACCACCACAACCAACGAGAGGGCCCAGCAGCGACGCATTAAGAGGGAGAAGGAAAACCGATTCCATGGAAGTGCAACAGGAATGCCTGATAATCAGGTTGCACCTCATAGTAAGAGGCAACCCAGACACCGATCTGAGGGAAGGTTCCGTCCCAGATCATGGTCCTCTGGCTCGAGTGAGGCTGGTTCAAGCTCCAGTGGTAACCAGGGTGACCAGACCCCTAGTTGCAAAACAGTCCGCCTAAGACACAAGTCTCGAGAGGTCAGCAGCAGAAGCAAAAGAGGCCGAAGTGGCAGTGGACAGGTCAAACTGGCCCTAAAAGTCATCGACAAAGAGGAACGGAAAAATTCACGTGGCAATGTCAGTACCACTGGAGGCCCACCTAAGCAGCAGCACTACATGAAAAAAAGCAAGAGACCTCTGAGGGAGATCCGCAAAGATGCTAATCTAGTTGAGGCACAGGAGTCAGGAGGAGAGGCCAATAAAAAGGAATATATGGAGGAGCCTCTTTGGTACACAGAGCCCATCTCTGAGTACTTTGTCCCTCTCAGTAGAAGTAAATTGGAGACAAAGTATCGGAGTACAGAAGACTCTTCCAATGACTTAGCTATGTCCATTGATATGGACTGTCTATCGGAGAGAATTCAAGGAATCTGCATTGCAAATTCTTGTTTTCAAAGGGCATACCTTGCAGCAGGCACTTTTGTGGATGGCCACTTCATTGAAGTGCCTGGTGAAGGTGATGAAGAGGCTCCTGAACTGAATGGGATTCCAAGCTGCCATCCTCCTGAAGATGGTCAAGATTTAGATGATGAGCATCTGTCTGAATTCACTCACTTCTATGAAGTTGATCTTTACCAATCCATATTGGATCCTAGTGCCTCAGATGCGGTACAAGAAAGTCGAATCCTGAACATGATTCGACAGAAGAGCATTGAGCGAAAACACTTTGAAGCAGGATGTGTAGTTTTAGATGGCCTTGAGCTGCAAGGGGAAAGTGCAATAAGGGTTGATTCTCTGGGAGCTTCAGAAGCAGATGTTTCTATCACTCAAGATATGGAAACCATTGCCCAAGTCTGGGAGTGCTGTTCATCTTCTAGCCTGGAGGATTTAGAGGGAGAAAGTTGTCCTGGTGACTCTCCAGTCAGGCTCTCCCCAGTGTTGGACAGTGTTCCATTTAATTTTAGCAACCTATCAGGAGCTTTTGTAGGGCATCATCTCCAAGAAGCCAGTGGTAGCATCTCTGACCTAAACTCCTGCTTTTCACTTTTTGAGTTGCAGTACGATAGCCCTTCCTTTTCTTTTCCCTGTGACTCTCTCACACCGGGTCAGGACAATGTAGATTCAAGTAGCTGTTTAGATCCACAAAGAAACAAACAATCCCGTTTGCTAATTTGGACCAAAAACAGTGCCTTTGATGAAACGGAACACTGCTCTAACTTATCAACGAGGACCTGCAGTCCATGGTCCCACTCAGAGGAGACACGGTCAGATAGTGAGCAGATCAATGCTCTGGCAGATGAATCTGTTTTGTTTGGCAATGAAGAGGTCAGCTGTATCTCCCTTATCCCACCTTTATGCCTAGAGGAGGAGCTTTTAGATTTCTTTCAAGAGAACTCGAGTCACCAGCAGGAAGAAACAAATATAGGTGTAGAGTCCAACCAGCCCTTCAATAAGAAATCGAAATTGGAGTCTGTTTGTGGCATAGCATTAGAGCAGGATGAGAGTAAACTCTATAATGCTGTTGTGTTTTCTGATGTCCCAAATCAACAAAGTGATGAATACACCTCAGGGATAATAAAAGACATTTGGATGGCTATTGGAGACCGAGACTGTGTCTTAACTCTTGGGGTAAAGAATACAGGGGAACACTTCTTTTCAGAGGAGGCTCCTGGCTACCAATGCAGCTGTCTTGACAAGGATGTAAAAGGTGAAATTATTCAAAAGACAGATGCGCAGTGTTCGGAGTATCATCTTTGGGATGGGCAGAAAGAAGATGAGGGACTTCCTAAAAACAAGCTCTCTAAAATAAATGATGGGGATTACACAACACCGGCCAAGCCCTGGAATTGTAATTCACAGGACAGCACCTCATTTATCCTCGGCGGGGTTTATGGAGAACTCAAGACTCTAAGTGGCGACAGAGAATGGGCTATGGTTCCACCTGGTGATGCTTGTGGCAGTTTGTTGCAGTGTGCAGCAGCCACGTCTTCTGACATGGTAACCATTGCAGGAGCGGATGTGTTTATGAACACGAGCAGTCGCTTTGCTCCTGGCCACAGACCGTTGTGGAGACCTCTTGTGTCCCTTGGTCAAAATGAGCAGACTTCCAAGGGACCAGGGGATGGTTTGAATAAGGGATTTTCTGTTGTCTTCCATGAAGATTTACTGGGATCATGCGGAGGGTTCCGTGGAGAAGAGTCAGGACTTGATTACCCATTTTCATCCTTTGATTTAAACAACCCTTTTTCCCAGGTCCTGCATGTGGAGTGCTCCTTTGAGCCAGAGGATATGGCCTCGTTCAGCCCGGGATTCAAGCCAAAATCCATATTATGCTCAGACAATGAGCCCTTTTGCCCTTGGTTATATGGCATCAATCGGACTCAGTATCGGGCCATTCGAATTTCCCCAAGGACCCATTTCCGGCCAATATCTGCTTCTGAACTGTCTCCAGGTGGGTGCAGTGAGTCAGATGTAGAGTCAGATGAGAAAGAGGAAGCAAGTCTTCCGGTTAGTCAAGCAGACCTCTTTGATGACCCACAGGCTGACCTCAAGCCTCTCGAGGAGGACGCAGAGTGTGAGGGCCCTTACTATGGGAAATCTGAGCTGGAGTCTGGGAAGTTCCTACCCAGATTAAAGAAGTCTGGCATGGAGAAGAGTGCCCAGACATCACTCGATTCACAGGAGGGTGGGAGCACCCTTTTGCCGATTTCTGAACAAGAGATTTGCGTACATTGTGAGACGGCAGTGGTTTCGAAGCCATGTTCTCATGTGCAGTCCTCTGTTCAACAAGCAGAAGGCAGCAAAGAGACCGAGTCTTGCAAATGTGCTGCAAATGATCAGATTCCTGAAACTGGGAAGTCACTTGATGTTGCTCAAGATATGCATGAGGTAAGTGACTACAGAGCCAATCTGACCAAACTGTCACCTACAGATACATGCATATGGAAAATTTTACAATAGATTAGCATGTCTTTAGCTGTTAATATACATATATATAGGTATCACCTGCACGTACTGAATTCACATATACCATGACTGTACTTGATATTTTTCTGTGATAAAAAACAAACAAACGTTGTCTCATTACTTCAACAGTTTCCTCTGTTGAATTTTGGAGAACAGTGCTTAACTAATATGCAGCAAGAAGAGTGCTGGTGGCAGAGTACTCTATGTTCTCCTTTATTTCCAGGTTCTCAGTGTGGAGGTAAGAATGCAAAATTGAACAGTTTTAGATACAGGGAAGTTAATTGTACTCTGCTTTAACAAACCCATGAAGTTATAATAGATAATAATCATGATTAATTTGAATGTAAAGTTGTAGACAGTACATTCAATGGAATTTGTATAATGCTAAATGTTTTTTTTTGTTTTCTTTTAGGAAGCAGTAATGTATGAATCTTCTGCTTAACGTGGAGGCATACCGATGCTATTTTCCTCCTATCACTTTCAACCATAAACCAGAGGAGGGACAGGAGGAACCTTACAAGAACAGTGAGCCCTGCGCCTACAGTGGGTTCTCACTTAACCACCCTGTCCTAAGCCCTGTTATTCCTCAGTTCATCTAAAATGGTGTATCAGCAAGATGAAAACAGAGAGGGGAAAACATGGCAATAGGTTGAACATACAGATAGATGATTCTGGTCAACAGCATATATTATAGACCTGTTTTCAGTCTGTTAAGTCCAAGGTTGATCAATTTTGAAAAGAAAAAAAACGGCATAGTTAAGCATTAAGATTTGTTCTTTATTTACTACCCCTTATAGATTTTAGCTTCACTTTTATGTTTGATCTAGGATACACTATAATTGTGGTCCTACTGATTGTGCATGTGCTTGTGAACCTAGTCTCAGTCCTTCTAATAGTCAAAGTTTCTGTGACCGAACTATGAATACTCAGAAGTCAGGTTGAAAGCACTACAATTGCAACACCCCCTTCCCCTGCCGATAATTTTTTTTTTGTCTTATTTTTTTCCTTCTAAATGACTTATAGAGGATAGAGTTGTGTGAGGTTTGGCGTGTTGAAAGAAAATTGCTTTTGTCCCCTGCCATGCTGCTTTGAAAGCATCTTAAAGAAATAGAGCAGGGTAATATATTGAAAGTGTAATAAAACAATAAGCATACTAAAATGTTGAATGTAGAAACAGAGCTTTGCCCTTGAAATCTGAAGTTGCTTTCTTTGCTTGAGTTTACAGAGTTTCCCAGCCATTTGATAAAGGTTTACCAATTCGCTAGGTTATTTTTTTTTTTTCACTTCAGGTTTTAAAAAATCTTTTTTTCCTTTCTTACTGTCAGTTTGGTTTGATTTGTGAAGTTACCTTTCATAAAAGTTAATTTTGGAGAGTTCTTGTGTCAAAGAATAGTTTACATTTTCCTGAATACATATGGCAAGATATCTGGAAAGCATGTAAAATATAAATGCTGCAGATAATGGAAAATAGTTAACAGAATATTTTGACCCATATAATTTCAGATAAGTAAGTCTTTAAAAAAAAAAAAAAACTATTACTCAGTTGATGGTGTATATCTGTTGCAGTTTGCTATTGTAGCCATGACGTTATGTATTTTTTCTTTAAGGTTAGTGTTCATTTTGGGCTTTTCAGTTAATTTTTTCCCCCTTATTTATCAACAAAATTGCGACCACTGATTATTCATATAACATACCTTTTACTTGTTTTAGAAATCTGTGGCTGTTTCAGTGTGGACTTATGCATCATACTCATGGCATGGGCAAGATCTAGATCTAATATGAAAAGTGGTTTATAAAAGCAATATAGTATTTTGGCACACAATAACTCTACAACCTTATGATATTGATGTATTTTTGTGTTTGAGGAACATACATGGGGTTTATTTTTGAAATGTTACTTTAATTTAGTTTCATTCCCCTCTGTTTTCATTTGAATAAGGCCTAAATTACTTTTCCTGCAAAGTTTGAAAGGTTGCTTGCCTATACAATTTTAATGGCTGTGGAATTGGGTATGGTCACGGTGTAACCCTTTTATGTTCATAATGCAAAATCCAGTCCATCCTAAATTTGTTTTGTGATCTAATACCATCATTTACACCTGTGACTTATCTATTTCCTTTTGTCTGCTTCTTGACCTTAACAGATCGAACATAGCTTTAAAGCCTGGACGATTCAGCTTTGTGTTTTGTTACAAATATTACAAGTGAGAAATTACTAAAATTGACATTTTAAAAGTACCCTCTATTTTTTTTTTTTTCTTTTGAAAAATGTTAGTGTGCTTTTTTTTCCTGTACCAATGTGGGAAACTTTGTTTTAAAGCATTACTTGTTAAATATTTTCAGGGGGAATTTGAATGTGACAATGAAATGGAAAATAATAATGCCCCATCAGCATTGACCAAAAACGATTCCTTCATTTGGCACAAGGATTTAAGTTTTTAAACTTGCTTTGGCATCAGATGTCCACAAAAAAAACAAAAAAGCCCCTTTGCAAGAGTTTATTTTGTTGACCTGTTCTGAGATGCACTTTGGGTTAAATTGAGAGAAAAAAAAAAGAGTATTTTATATATTGGTGCTAACATTCATACACCATGTCTAAGATGTAATCTTTAGATGTGTATAAGAAAATTGTCTGCACTCTTAGTCCTTCTAAAAGATTTGTGCTTATTTTAACAGAAACCGGTCTAAGGTTTGAAGTCTACAATCCTAGACCGAATGGAAATGGCTGTAGGCCATGCAGAGTTGATTTTGTATGACCCGGTTTGAAACGGCTTGTGTGTTTGTGTTTCCCCACATTTTTTTTCCTTATTGTGGTTATGGGAGTGTGATTATTGTTTTACAAACAACATAAATATCCAGTTATAGAAATGTTTAGTGGTAGAAAACAAGGCACAAAGAAATTATTTTATTGTATGGTATAACTGGGTAGAGCAGCACCTGGGTGCCTTTATTGGGTTATTTAGTTGACAATTAACGTTACAATTCACTTTCATTTTTTCAAATTTAAAATACTGTCAGAGATTCCAAAATGCAATTACACATTTTTGGCATCACTTTCTCTAATCAAAATATAAATGAACTATATTCTGTCGAGCCCTTGGAGTGAAATGTTGCCATCCTCCAGAGTTGTTTCTTGTATTAGTTGGACTTATGTTCATTAAGAAACTTAATTGTTTATGGTGGGTGGGTGACAGAGGATAAAAGCATTTTTCAAATTTAAGAATTTTGAGACGATGCATAAATATAGTGAATGTGTGACGGTGAAATATAACAAAACAGCATAAGCAGATTATTTACAGTTGCAATTTCAATCAGCTTTTTAGTTTGAACAGACTCATTTTAAAATGAAAAAAAAAATTGACATTCTTAGTTATCTTTCAAGTCTAGTTCTGTGTGTGAGGTTGTATGATTGCTGGAGAAAGTACTCATGTCTGTGGGAGAAATTGCATTATTTGCATTCTTAGGTTTTGGTTTGGTCAATACATTGGGAGAGGATGACTTTCAAGTCTGTACTTACAGGTTTAAGTTTTGATTGCAATGTTGTATAACTTTTAAAGCAAAATTTCATCTCTGTGACAGCTTCTTAATTGGAGCCCGAATTTGTATTTTTCCTCTGAATACCTAATGAAAGTCACCGAACCCCAATACAAACAAAGTTGGTTGCATTGTTCTAATGCCATGTACATCTGAGTACATCATTTTGTTTCCATTGTGAAGTTTCTAAACCTTTAATAAACATCAAAAAAGTTCATAGTTGTTCTGTTTCTTAGTGACGGCTTGATATATTTCTGAAAAATACTGATTTATACAATCATTAACCAGGTTGCTAAATGTTGAATTGGCCTGGTTTTCTAGGTACACATTCAATTTTGACCCTGAGCCAACCTGGTTGTGACAAAGTCAGGTAGAGGGAAATGCTTAATCTGTTAGTGGATCCCTGACCTTAAAGACTTTCCGATACGACTTGTCACAGGAAATGACATTACAAACTGTAATTTGCCTTTTAAAGAATATTCATACTATTTTTTTTCTCAGTGCTTCCTTTGAGTAAGTCTAATCAAATGTTATAGCGAGCAGGCCCAGCACCATGTTCTAGGTGCTACAGAGGTTGAAAGTTTTGTAGCACAAGTATTAAACATCTGTTCCCATCTCTGAAAACAATCACAAGTAGTGCAGTTCATAATTTAAACAGTCATGTAACTGACAAAAAACATTAATGTACCATACAGGCCTCACAAAATCCAAACCTTAATAAGAAATGTTTTCAACCAAATATTGACATATTGACTTGACTGGTAGACTGCAGGAGCATAATACTCTTGCTTCTTGCTTAACTTTAAATCCTATATATATATTGCCCAGTATCACTAATCGCAATCAAAACAACACACATCCTTTTTGGTTAGGTCTAAAGTTTTGGTAATTTCTAAATTTGAATGCATCCACTGAGAAAAACAACCTCCTGCACACTTCTCTACACTGGAGAAAAACATGGATTGGCATATGTTTACTTCAAAATTCTTTAGAGAGATGTTTTTTACCCCAAATATGGTGTGCGCATTAATGAGTATGCATGTAATGTAATGTGTGTTTCATTACTCACACACATAAAAACTTCAACAAAAAACTTCACAACAAAAACTCTCAGTCTCATACTATTGTCTCTCTCACACAGGAAAAACTGTATCACGTGTACTGTGGTAAATTTATTCATCACAAAGACAGATTCTTGCTAGAATGTGCAACAGTGCCAAGGGTACATAAGGGCCAGGGTGGCACTGGCCCACTCAGATTGACGGCTGGTCGACTCAATCAAATGAGACAGAATATTTTTGTTTTGTGGGAAAGGAGAAACTGATCACGCATAGGTCTACTACATCACAATAATACTCGCTCAAATACATGAATTTAGTGGATGTCACTCCCTAAACTTTGCAGTCTGTATGTGGCTGCTGGTCAAGCATGAAAAACAAAAGTTTGTTTTCAAATTCTCAATTGATAATGCATCACCTATAAAGCACGCCTACAAAGAGTGGTCCCTTTTAATAACTACAAAGCGATCCGGGGCTAGTAATTTAGCATGATTATTCAGGTTAATATGTCGGCAGCACAATAACTTGTCATTTTTTTAATGACATCATCAACCTTATTTCTTCTCATTTTTTTGATGCGTGTAGCTCTTTTTTTTGTTGTTGATATTTTAACCTCAATTTTTACATATGGCACCTTTAAGTCCACCTTGCCCAGCAACGCTCCGCATATGATTTATCATTCAGTTTTTTTTTATTCTGTGGATTGTAATTGAGTCTTTTATTTAGTCTATAATTGGATTTTGTTTTCATGAAACTGTTGGCTGAGAATAAATCACATTTAACTTATCTTAATTGTTAAAATAATTTTGTCCGATATTATAAAATGTATTTGAGAGTAGGCTTTGGTCCACCCTATTTTACCAGGGTCCACTCACTTTAAAATGTGAGGCCTCTCCACAGTGTATCACACTGTAACTTACAGCCTATAGTGTATGTATGATGTACCTGTAATAAAATCCAGCTACAAATATTGCATGTTCCAGATGTATTAATTCATAAGTTATTACCTGGTAGTGGTGAAATGAAAGTCAAATTTTAACGTTTGTCAGTAACATCAAATGCATTTACGAGCAAACAGGTGGGCTCTGTTATTCTTTCTGAGGTAACTGTATTTTAGATACAGTGAGTATAACTGATAAAATACTGTTCACCGAATGGTGGTCAGACGTTTTCATTGTAGAGATGGTGTGAGGAATAAGGGACGTTCACTTTAATCAGCCTGATGCAGGTTTGGGGGTTGTATTAGTTACTATAGCAACAGTCTGTCTACTGGATACTGATAAAATACCACCTACTTGGGTTTATTAAAACTAGCATTAAACCGTATCTACGCAAAAACAAACTTTAACCTCACGCGAGGCGACAAAACCACAATCACTCATGGAAGATTGCTATATATCACTGCAAGCAGCTGCGTAGATGGGAACGTTGTAGTTTTATCGCGTCGCGCAGTGTGTACAATGTTGATAGGGCACTGAAGGTCACTTCCTGATTTACTGACTGTCGCATTATGTCCCAACAGATTCAAAACGCTCTGCCCCTCTTTAAATGACGTTTTGTATTCCTGAAACGCGACATTACTGCTACAAGTGGAAATACCAAGTTTTCTTACTTTATTAGAGGCAGACCTGCACCTCATTCAGTCAGGGCAGGTGAACTTATCGATTCGAATGCTTTCCTTACACGTTTATATCGGCGAGGAGGTTTTAAAATGGCGCTGGCAGCGTCACAACAGGTAAGATACTTTTCATTAGCTTTCATAGCGCTGCTGTTAGCGTTACTCGTGAGCAGAAGTTTGGATAAAGTTTGAGCTCAGTCTGTCACTTGCCGTAATGTAAAAAATTGAACTTCTCCTGAACCGAGAAGAGTGATGTGCACCAGCAGCAATGATAAAAGTTATGGGTTTGAGTTAAGTTTAGAGAGTAGATGATGCATAAAATGTAGGAGTGTTAAGCTAACAATAACAATAGTATTTGATGTATCGTTTATTGGAGGGTATGGACTATGGAGTGAAGGTGAGGGGGTGATGGACGCACACGCATCCCTTCACCTGCAGCAGGAACATGGCAGAAGCAGAACTTACGTCCAGTGAAAGCAACACAAACTGTCAGATTCAGAACAACGATGGTGAGTTCAAAGTAACTTTGTTGCCCTTTGTATGTAAGTGATACATCCCCCAATATCCCTTTCCAAGCTGCTTGTTTAGAGTCAATGTCAAAATGGTAACAGCATTATTAGTATTAGTATTATTTCGCTTATGTTGTGCATAAGAGAAAAGTTCTTTAGAAAAAATGAAGGAAAAAAAGTTTATATATAACAGAATTATTTTTGATTTGTCTGTTTAACATGTTCAGATGTGTATTAGAACACAGAAGATAAAGCATAAACAAATTATTGACAATTTAATAAATGTAGCATCCACCTCAATAAAAGAATGAAATGAGACTACGGGATAGTGTCAAACTGCTTTTCAAAGCCATCGATTGAAATGTAACTAGTAAAATAGAAAACCTTGTTATATTATGTACATTATATGTTTACAATTAGAAAAATATGACAAAATATGGTAAATGATGTTTACCAGAAATCAATTATTGTACAGTGGGTTTAATTTGTCATTTAATGATATACAATATTAGTGGTAGAACTTTTGCCAAGTCTGTCAGAGGTCTGGGCTCTAGTCTGCACTCGTATCATTTTTTTTTTTTTGTCTTCTTTTCTCTCATCAAAACCGAATATTCATCATCACTGGTTGTATATCAAGCAGTGACACGTTTGTGAGCGTTTTATTTCTCTCGGCCACCGTATACAAGACTGTAACCACTTTAATGAGGGAATAAATTACAATCCCATGAAGCATCGCAAATGACAATGAAATGTAAAATTTAATATTATTTACCGTGTATGTATATATACATCAACTCTATACCTAATTAAAATGAGTGAAATGACA